ATCGTTTGTATATTGATATCCTCTTTTGGATGTTCCATGAAAAAATGCAACATATCTTTCTTCTTTAAAGTCCAAAGTTAAATGACCTATTTTTCCATTATGGCACAAGTAACCGATGATATTCATTTCATTCTCGTGATATTATTAGAACTTTTATGTACACTTCAATATTTGATTACCATAGTATCTTCTAAACAACTTTTAACCCTCGTGATCGACAGATGGAGGAAAAATCGATGATACCCGTTATGATATGTCTGTAGTGGACTCCAATGCATTACCTTTCCTTTTCAAGCATGCTCCTGAAGTAGCTAAGGAGCTGAATGTAGATTCAGAATATTCATTTGACACTGCTAATCAGTCTAGCCGAGAGGCATGGATGGTAAATGACTTAATACAGCAATTCAAATTCTTCAAGCCATTTTAGAGAACAATAAGCTCTTTGAAGCATTCATTCTGGTAAGGTATACTTATCGAGGTTGTTTCTTTTGTCAGGCAATATATCCCCTGTCGTCCTTGTTTTCTATAAGCTTAAATTTCCCTGCAAGAAGAGATGAAATCTCGAAGCATTACAAGTATTTTCCTATTATATCCAGTACTAAGCAAGAGACTACCTCAGTCGATGGTTCCCGCAGAATTTACTTGGAATTTTCATTGGGGTAAGTCAAAACGATCAATACGCACTTGTTACACTTGAATCTTTATGCTTCTTTCCTCTCTTTTACTTCTCCATTCTGGTTATCACAAAACACAACAATAGACTTTTGTGCCAAGCAGTTATAGCGGTCAAAATCTGAAATAAAGGTAGGACTGTAATTTGATATAGCAGTTATCGCGATGGATATATACAGAAGTTGATATATTTGTTGATGTTTGATGTTCAGTTCATTGAAGGAGGTATGGGTTGCAGTCCTAAACATTACAGGCCCAATTTCTGGTTGGTCGTTTGCAGACGGAACCCTTCCAGGTGAAAAAGAAAGACTATATTTCCTTGAATTCCTTCATTTAAGTTATTTTGAAAAGCCATTAATGGAGTGGGTTAAAGGTGCTTGCAAAATAAAGATTGTAAGTGATGTGTTGTTACTTTATGTAGCTCCTGAAATTGTGAAAGGTGGTCCTCCATCATACATATGTAGACTTAGTGGTGTTGCTCAGGAAAACTGGACCTTTTGGTTGGAGGTAACACTCTTCCTTCCTCTAGCTGTAAACTTCTTTTTTATTTTACCAAATAATCTTGTATATCACGTACAAAATCATGTGATTCACGTGACTTTACCCTACCACCTGGAAGACGTGGCCAAAGTCGTCCACACACCTTCTCTACCTCATCAAGTGCTGACCGTAGATTAACTAATCGATGATTAAGATGAGGTTGCATTGGTTTAGTGAGGTTTAGGGGAAAATCCCAAAATTACTTATATTCACATGTTCATATCATACAGATGAATGGTTATCAATTATCAGAGTGTTCCTCAGTTTTTTATTCTTTTGCAGTTTATATATATAGTCAGATTCGGGGAAAACTGCAAAAAAATGAAAAACCGAGGAACACCCTGATAACCATTCATTTATCCGGTATGCACATGAGTAATTTGTCGGGTATGCATGCACATGTGCATAAAAACCAGGAAACATCTTCAGTTACTTGTATGCAGATGTGCATAATGTACAGATGAATGGTTATCAATGTGTTTCTCATTTTGTTTTTCATTTTTTGGGGATTTCCCCCTGGCCCTTACTCTATATAGGGTTGTGTGTGTGTGTGTGTGTGTATATATATATATATATGTAGGGTCAGGTTCAAGGGAAAACTGCAAAAAAGAAAATGAGGAACATCCTGGTAACCATTCATCGGGAAGGTATGCACTTGTACATATACGTAAGCAATTTGCCAGGTATGCATATGCGCATAACATGCACACGTGCATAAAAACCAAGAGATAACTTCAATTACTTGTATACAAATGTGCATACCATCCAGATAAATAGTTACCAGAGTGTTTCTCAGTTTTTCATTTTTTTGGGAGTTTTCCCCTGAACATCCCTCTGTATGTATGAAAGACTACTCTTCCTTACCTTTTCTAGCTCTAGAGTTTGCATGAATTGCTTCTTAATATTCACAGACGAATAGTCCGGGAGCTATACATATTGAAGTTGGTGTTGTAGAACAATACTTAATGGAATCCATGAAGAAATTGAAGGATAGTGTTCCAAAGTGGGTGGATGTTACTGCATATTCAAGTTTTTTGTCAACATATAACTTCTAGTTACATTTATTCACACTCTTTCTTATGTAACTGTTTCAAAGGTTAGTCTTTAATTGTCATTTAAATTGAAGCAAAATAGGTTTTGCCTTTCTCTCTTTCTTTACTGTATTGTATGTAGAGTAAAGTTCACTTTTGGTCCCTAATGTTTGTCAATTTCAACAGTTTTCGTCCCTCAACTTTATTTTAACATATTTGTCCCTCACGTTTGGCATCTTGCAACGATTTTCGTCCCCTCTCCTAACAACTGTTAGCTTTTTTCATTAAGTCCAATTAAATGAGGGGTATCTCGGTCATTGTTATCGATCTCCTCCTTCCTCATACTACCTCCATCAATCTACCACTATGGGTTGTTTCCCTAAGTATCACCAATCCATTTAGGGGTTTTTGGAAATCGATTGAGGGTTTTGTTTGCTTGAAATCGATTCAGATTTTTGTTGGTGTGATTTAGATTTAAGGTTGGGTCTAGATTAAGATTTAGATCCGGGATAAGTTTGCCGGTAGGGAGGGTATGGGAGTTCAAAGAGGTGGAGGCTGTGGTTGGGGAGGGTGTGTGTGACTCTGTGTATACGTACATATATACACACACTGAATATATAAATACAATATATATAAATCATATGATGTTTTATTTAAAGGGTGTTTGGGATTGCTTATAAAAGCTGTTTTTTAACTTATTTCAGTCTGACATCGATGATAAGCTGTTTTCTGGTGTTTGGATAAGGAAAAAAAAAACTGCTTATACTGGTGTCAAACCGGTAATAAGCTGTTTTTGATAAGTTAATTCTTCATGACTTATGAAAAACTGTTTATTACCAATTTATAATTTTAGCCCTGTTTTATTTAACTCCGGTTTGATATCACATAAGTTAATAAACATTTTTACAAAAAAACATAAGTTGTTTTAAATAAGCAATCCAAACACCCCCTAAGTTTTTCTTTAATTTGATTAGGAAAAAATAAAATGACTGAAATACCCCTCAATTAATTGGACTTAACGGAAAAAGTTAACGGTTGTCATGAGGAGGACGAAAATCCTTGTGAGGTGCCAAACGTGAGGAACACATCTGCTAAAATAAAGTTGAGGGACAGACTATACTATTATAACGGTCAAAATACGAAATCACGTCCAGTACTATGATTTAAAATAGCGGTTATCGCGGTGGTATAACAGTTCATATGGTTATTATTTTTAAGTTTATGTTTTATACCATATATTTAATTTTTCATTCTTCAATACATCTATATATATATATATAATTTAATTTAATTTATATCTTTTATTTTACATCCTTATCATATTTACATAAATAATCTTATATGAACTAAAATACATTTTTTATTGTACAAAATGCATCATTATAATCATTTCATTAATACTTTCAAAATAAGTCTAATATCGAATATTTTTTTGATTTAGTATATTATTAAAGTGTTATAAATACACAGTGAATCATTTTTTGAACTTATGTTTCAAACTCTATAGTTATTTATTTTATATTCCCTAATTTTTTTATTTTACATAGTTATTTATAACATGTTATGAAACACGTTAAATAATTATTGTTAAAAAGTAAAAAGTTTTAAGTCTTGATAATGATGTATAAAACATTATATTAACCATCTTATTACATATTCCCGTAAATATAAATTAAACCCCTCATTTCTCTCATCCCCCTTTTGGATTCCTCTTCCATTTCAAGCACCTCCACCTTTTCTTTAAAGAGTCCTAATTTTTTCTCTCCCGCTTCCCTGACTTCATGGTCTCTCTATAAATTGGATTTGCTTGTAACCGATACGTCCTTCAAATCTATCACCCATCCATCTTAAATCCATATCTAGTATCAAAACTATACCCTCAAATCGTTCTTTGATCTCTCTCTTTTAGTTGAAGACTGCTTGAGCATTAACATACATAACTACATGAAAGCTATTTCATCATCTTCTTCTTTCGTTCTCTTTGATTATAATTCATACAGTGGTTTTAGTGAATTTTTGTTTCTGTGAAATTCTTAAGATTTTACATGGTGTGATCTTGATCGATTCTCAACTGGATTCTTGGGTCATCATGAAGTTTATTATCTGATTTGAAATCTTTTTTCACAAAGTTGGTTAGATATGGGTACCAAAAAAGCTTATGTGTTGATATAATCCTATCACTTGACCCTAAAAAAGAAATGAAGTGCTCTTTGATACAGAAAATCCTCCATATGTTTCTTCTCTTAAATACGATCGAGGGTTTTCTGGTTTGAAACCACATGGATCGATAGACTGAGGGAAAAAAGATTGATTCCCAACTATAAAACGACAGGGCGAGGGGAAACCGTGTTGTACGTTGTTGCAGAGTGATGAACCAAAAATTAAAGTATCATCATTCTATACATGTTAGAGGATAAACTAAACTTATCTTGATCTCAATTATTGTGATCCACAATAATTTTGTTATATATCTTGATCTTGTTCTAGCTTGGTAATGTATGATTCACAAGAGAAAAGATGATTTGTCCACTTACAGTGCCAAAAATTATGAGACGTTCATGTTCACAGTCTACTAATATATTCTTGTGTAACTAAAAATAGTTGACTACGGATTATCTGCAAAATATATGGTTCAACTCGCATAACGGGTTGGATATCCATTCCAGGTTATAAAGAAAATTTTAATTTTTGTTGACGTCGGATAAAACATATCTGTTTAAAAATTAACCAGAAATCATTGTAATCGTCTAATGTCTGTCCGGTCATAGCAGTATATCACCGTAGAAGCAGCACTGGCGGCATATTCCTCCGTCGATGACGGCACAACCGTACCAACACACACTAAACCCTAACGAATTCAGATGTCGTCGTTTTCAATTTCGATCATTCGCCACCACTACAACCCCTTCATACCAAACACAGTCCACCGGTGCGCCTCCGGCTTCCGTTCACTCTGGATCGCCGCCTCCAGAAACCACAACCGCGAAAACGTCTCCAGGAAATCTCAGCAGCCGAGCAAGCATCTACTCAAAGCACGCGATGCCGTCAAGCATTTCTCGTCTCTATCACCGTCCCTCACCTCCACGGATAAGTTCAGTCTGTCTCCAGACCAAGCCATAGGAAAAGTCGCTTCTGCTCAAGCCAATTTCATGCGCGTGGTGGTTGAGTCGGCGAAATCCTTGTCTCCAGAGGAAGAGAAAGGAAATGGAGTTGAATTGTTGTGTGTGGTGAGGAATTTGTTGAAGAAGATTAAGAGGAGAGTTTTAGTAGGGGATAAGGTGTTGGTAGGTTCAATCGACTGGATTGATCGAAGAGGAATGATAGAAAATGTGTTCGAGAGAAAAACCGAGGTACTTGATCCGCCAGTAGCGAATGTGGATCATTTACTAGTTTTGTTCTCTTTGGATCAGCCGAAATTGGAGGAATTCTCTCTTACTAGGTTTCTGGTGGAGGCCGAGTCGACTCAGATTCCAGTCACACTTGCTTTAAACAAGGTGGAACTCGTAGATAAAGAGGTATGTATTAAGATAATTATTTAATAATATGCTGTTTTTCATGAATTGTTCAGTAGTTGTATTAATATCTAGAATTCTATAATATCTGATCATCCAATTCACATACAGTGAGGTCAAATTTCGTATTCATTCAGTTCTAAACTGAACTTACTTAGTTCCTTGACTCGTGGATTTTGTTGATTAAGGTTTTGTACCTGAGAGCTGAAATGGCGTTTAACTGATTCAAGTTTTTCAACAGTAATGTCTTCTATAGATGTGAGATATTATGATAGTTTGTATCATATTCTGAAAATGGATCGAGTCACGTATGGATAAAGTTGTCTATTTGGATTAGATTAATCTGTCTGTATAGATTTGGAAAGTTTTTGTTGGGGAGAGGTTTTTCATAGATGGAAGAATGTGTTTTTTAATTGGGAGGGGCCTGCTTGAAAAAACTTGGCCTTCTGCATAAAGCTTACTAAATAAACCACTATCTATATCATTAAGCTACTACCAAACAGTTGTGTGTAGCTGACTGAATAAGCTGTGAGTTCCATTAAGCTGCTAACAAACCTGTCCTTGGGGTCCTACCTGGCTTGTCTATTTGCTCTTATTTTTCTCGGGATTGTGCATAAGATTATAGCTTTTACACAGACACAGGTTTCATGGAAATCCAAGCTTCGCAGTTGGGGTTATGAACCGATCTTTTGCAGTGTTGAGACCAAAACTGGACTTGATTCGCTGCAGTTCAACTTGAGAGATCAGACCTCCGTGATTGTGGGTCCAAGTGGTGTTGGAAAGTCCAGTTTAATCAATGCTTTGAGAAGCAACCACTTTGGCTTTCATGCTGCAGATATGAATGATTGGCCTAACTCTGTAAAATCCCGACTCTGCTTTTGTAGTTCATTCATTTCACTCTAGTTTTTGATATTGTATTTAGAATGTTTCCGCTTTGTTCCTTCAACTGTAAGCAGATTTCAGGAAGCAAGTGGCTTGAAGATCAACGAGTTGGAGAAGTGTCGGCGAGAAGTGGTAGAGGAAAGCACACAACTCGCCATGTTTCTTTGCTTCCGCTATCTGGTGGAGGATATATTGCAGATACCCCTGGCTTTAACCAACCGAGTCTATTGAAAGTAACAACACAGTCCCTTGCGCTGTGCTTCCCAGAGGTCTGCCCTGTAAAATATGCATCATGCATTTCCTGATTGCCTGGTCCATCTGAGTTATTAGATTCTACTTGTTGGGCATCTAATTTTGGCTTCAAACCATCTAAAAGTTCATTCGGCTATTATGTTTTTATCATTGCTCTGATCGTTGTTTCTATGTTGAAATGTGAATCTTGTGTTGTTTTCAGGTTCGCAAAATTCTTTCGGCTAGTGAACCATCTAGATGTGCATTCAGTAATTGTTTGCATCTTGGGGAACCAGGGTGTCTTGTGAAAGATGACTGGGAAAGGCATCCCTACTACTTCCAATTGCTTGATGAGGTCAAAATCAGAGAGGAATTCCAATTGCGAACTCTAGGAACCAAACGAGAAGGTGATGTAAGGTATGCTTGTAGGCTGCTTGGATAAATACATCTTAAAGTTATAAGTTCATATTTTAATCCGTCCAATGTTACTTTGTGCTGTAATTAAGAGAAAGATCCTAAAGTTTATGTGAAGTATGAGAAGACCATCATAAATAGTTGCAATAATGTCAAGCTTTAACCTTTGACGGTCATCTCAACTAGCAAATAAAAGCTAGGGCTTGGGGCTCCTCATGAATTGGGGTATGTTTGTTAGCAGCTTAATGGGCTTAACGAGATTCGCTGTTTATTCAGTTAGTTATGCATGACTGTTTGATAGTGGTTTAATGATATAGAAAGTGACTTATTCAGTAAGCTTTTAAGAGGGAGCTTTATGCAGAAAGCCAAGTTTTTTCAAATATGCCCCTCCCAATTAAAAAGCACACTCCTTCCATCTATGAAAAAACCCTTCCAAACGAAAACCTCATCTCTCTATACAGACATATTAATCACGTAGACAACCTTATCCACGGTTACCAAAAAAAGAAAAATTGGATTGTGCATCATAGAGATGCCTTGCCTTGACAATATTCAACATCTTGTAATTTGCTAAACATCCATTGTTCTCCGGTTATAGATTCGAGATTTGCGTATGCATATGTTCATAAAATATCCCATATTGGCATTTTATCTTTTGATTTTGCATTTGAGTTGAATTGGAATTGGTTGCAGATACAAGATGGGAGATATGGGCATAAAGCAAGCCGAACCACGACTGGAGATGAAGAAACATAGGAGACAATCGCGTAAGAAGGTGAACCAATCTTTTCTAGATGACTTGGAGGAGGAACTTGAAGACGATGACGAAAGCTTTTTAGAGGATGATCCGATTATAAGAGCAATGGAGAACGAAAACCAGTAAAGATATAACACTGTAAATACTAGTGGCTCCGTTTCACGGTTGTCTTTTCTTGTAGCGACCGAGTGGATTGTTAATACTTTTAGAAAGAACGGGCTCTGTCAGAAGCTAAAAATCATGGCACCTTGAGGCATCTGTTTGGTTTGTATATGTGCATTCAGTTTTATGCATTCAGCTGGCTAAGACTGAATTAAGCTGTTCCATGACAATTACTTGACAATGTGCAACCATCGATCTAAATTCACCACATTTTTTGGGTTTTCTGTATTTTCTTCAACCTTCAGATCTCACACTTTATGAAATTAAAAGTAGAAACCATTGTTCCTAAAGAAAAAAGACAAAATTTTAAAAATGTCTACGGGCGAGAGTCACCAACCTAACTTGCATTATCGGATAACCAGTGTCGGATCTAGAAATTTAGGTGATTGGGTCAAACTTAATGGTGTTGGAAAAAATTCGAAACTGAATAACCAATCCGAACCAAAGTGGTTTTTGGTTATATTTCTCAATCATCGTTATTCTTTACTATTTAGTTAAACCGAAAAGCAAATTATACCATAACTTTATACATTTTATCTCTAGATAATTGGTTTGAGCCTTTGAACATATAAAACAATTAACATATCATATACAATTTATATTAAAACTAAAATAACAAGATATTAAGATGAATTTAATTTAAAATACAAAAAAGACTAGAATTTTATTGGCTAATATTGAAATGCATTTAACAAAATAATACACGGGATATTGAGATGAGTTTATTTCTTTTGCTTTTGATGGAAAAAATTCAAGTGTGCCAGGCTTGTAAAAATTGAGTGGGGTTTTAAGCATGAATCCAAGCCATTTATCTCGTGTAAAATTATTTTTAAAGACAAATGTAGAGTTTTTAACCTTTTGACTCGTGTCAAGAGATCCCATTAATTTACATGTGGCTCTTCCATTGTGGCTAACATTCTTGGTCATCAAAATGTGTAGTTAAAAAACATCTTTTACCATAAGAATCTTCACCACCGTATAAAATTCTCAATTCTATCTATACCTCTTATCAAATAGATTTTCAATTTTTTCGATACTCATCCGTTAAGATAAGTGATATCTAATAACGATATGGTAAATGTGCCCTTATCCTTATAAATAGTCAAATACCAACTCTATTCTTGGGATTATATTTGGTTATTTACGTTATATCTAAATTAAGGAATTTTGTTAAATGTACTGTCCTTGAAATAAAAGTTAAAATAAAAAAATGACTTTATTTGTAACATAAGTTCAATTCAAACGTCATTGCAAATTGTGAAATTCCCATAAAAATTACAAAACTCATGTAGGCCCAAATCAATACATTGAAAAAAATGTGAAAAGATCGATTTCAATATTAACATGTTAAATCTTTGTTATTAAAGTGTGCCTTCAAAATTTTAAGACACAATTTTACTTGTGTTTGAGGCCAGATTCATTTTCAACCTTTGAATTAACCTCAATGAAGACGTATCTAATTTCTTTCAAAATTTTAAAAAAAAAAATCATCTATTTTAGTTTCAGAATATTTCAGAATATGTTCATCAAAAACAAAAACGACTCTTTGATATTATTCTTAATTTGTCATTTTAAACATTTTTGTTCTAAGTTTTTTAATATAATATGAAATTTTATATTATTTTGTTTATTACTTATTTCAGATGATCTAGTTTTAATATGGATACAACAGGGACTCTAAAAAGATTGGAACGACCCTGATGGATTTGATTTTGACATATATGAGAAGAAAACTTATATGAGGTTTCATTTAATTAAGGATGTGCTTGGTATGAGACAACTCGGACATGACAAGATTAAGTGGGACGAATGCATTTTTTCTCTTTAGAAAGATGAGACAAGATTGGTAAAATCTTAAAACCTTGTACTATTCTTTCACCTGTTTACCTCTGTTGCCGTCCTTCATATCATGTCCCATCCAGTGCCATTCACATACCAAACGCACCCTAACCCTAATTTTATCTCTCATTTTACTACTTCTTTCCTGAAAACTATGCAACACCACAACCTTTTGACATACAATGAACTAAACAATAATTGGCCAATAGTAGAATTACACAAATTCTATATCTCACCAGACATCTCTAAATTCCCTCAAATGTATATTATAGCTGATTCATTAAGCCACCTAAACATTAAAAGACAATTAAAGGTCTCCAAAACCAAAAACAGAATCTCTGAAACTTAAGATGGCCTGGCTATTTCTTAATGGGTTTCTTCTTTGAAACAGAAGTTGTAACCTGTGGTTTGGGGTGTTTTTCAGCCTCACTGGGATCCAACCATTTAAGAGGATGGCGGTTGAAAAATGGCCAATTAGGAATGGTGATCAAAGTGGTCAAGATAACTCCACCAGCATATATGTATAGCATCAGTTCAAATGAACCAACAACATACCCAGTGACGAATGCCCCAATCGCAAATACTACCAGCATTATCTGCATCAGTTGCTCTGCTACCTTTTGTCCTTCCCAATCCATCTATTGATCCAACCAAAAAACTACCATTAGTTTCATCAAAACATTGTCAAGATCGTAGTAGTACTAACAGTGAATAATGGCTCAGATAGGCGCAAAACATAGCAGAGATGTCAAACAAAATACTTTGAGATCGATAGTGTCTTCATCATCATAAATGAATTTATGTTGTTCTTCAAAAGGGTAAAATGTATCAAAAACGAACCAAGTCTATCTTAAATTAACTCCTATTTAGTGTAACAAACGTTTTTCCTCAAGCAATGTAAAAAAGTTCCAAAATTTCTCAATCAACGTAACGAAGTTTCAAAATTTACTTTAATGTGGCATTTGGTGACAAGAATGTGAAGTTTATCATCCACTTCGCCGTGAACATTTCGTAAACCTTTCGTAACTAGGTATCAACATCATTGAATGTTACAAGAGGTTACAGGTCATATTGGTTACAAAATAAGAAAATTTGAAACTTTGTTATGTCGATTGAGAAAAAAATATTCTTTGTTACACTAAATAGGAACTAAACCAAACTTTGTTGCATTTTGATCCCTTTTGCCCTTCTTTAAAACAATTTAAGAGCAAACACCAAAGTATAAATACAAGATGTTATCAAGGCAATAATTTGATCATTTCAACCTCTTTCCTCTATCACCTTTTCTTTTGCGATGGGAACATAATGTTTTAAATTCTAAGTTGCATCACTTCAGCTACAAGGTGTGATCATGTGTTATTAAATTAGATCGAAACCAGCAAACCAGGTGACTGATCCACCATGTTAGTCTTGTTAATAGTATTCTTGCAGTATGTAGTTACAGATGCGATCATATAAGAGTAGCTTGTAGCGATGGTGAATTCTTTAGACAGACCATATTCACAATAATAATATGATAAAGCGAATCTCCATTAGACATCAGGTTGTGCATGATCATAGGGAGGGACTAATGGCAGTCATCTAAAGCGAAAGAAGTATATAAAACAATTCCATGTAGTACTTAAGAAGAAATATAATCAGGCAGGATTTATGGTAGTGCTAGTTCTTGTAATAAGAATGCTGTCAGGTAGACCAGATAAATGCAAAGCCAATGACTATTTTTATGGTGCTAGAATCTGATGACCACCAGAACTCTCAACTATAAGGCAAAACCTTAAAACATACACTTCTAGATAGTCACACAGCTTTCTCTAAAAAGCCATATGGTAGCATGTCCACAGCTTTGGTAATTATGCTGCAAAACAGTTCAGGAACTAGCTATACTATAACTGGATATGCATCTTGGTTGGATATGTTGCACCCTTGCCCCTGGTACTCTGACTCCGCTAATTATCATCTAATGACTTCACAAAATGTTATCTGGTCCTTTTGACTGACCTTTGTCTCAAACCCCAAGCACCATCTGGAAAAGCATCACGGCTTCACAGCCAACGCAACCACTTTTGCAATAACAAGATACTTTGTCTATCCAATGGAAACTACAATGTGTGATAGGACTCGGTGTTTGACCATTAATCAAATATCTAAAATACCCTCCATCTCGCAACTCCTCGGGCAATCACAAAATAGAAAATCCTGTGGACTGAAACAAGCAGCATCAAACATAAACTAACGATGGGAATTCTCAAAGCAAGCAAAAAGGGGATGATATTTTGATAGGACTTTCAAAAATGGGAATTGTTGTTTCACTAGACTGAGGGAGAAAAAGAGAGAGTAGTTTTTTTAGTATAATGGCAACATACCTCAGGTTGTTTACAAAGAAGAAGATAGCAAACTGAAACACTAATAACCCTAAAATATTCTAGGCTTTTATTTGACAAGAATCTGCTAATTTAAAACACCACAAACACGTCGTTTTTCTCCAACATGTATATCGTTAATTTCAATCTTCAAGCATACACTTCATCTTTATCAATTCAGTGTATGTATTTGAGATCACAGACAATCAACTAGAAAGGACAAGATTAACAAGGCAAAAGGTCAAGCAATAAAGTCAATGAACGCAATCGACTATCCTTTCCCTGAAAAAACACCCTAGTTAAGCTCCGATCAAAGTGTAACCGTAAAAATACAAAATTCATCCGGAAAAAAGCTCCAGTTTAGGTTAATCTATGAACAAGGAGCATCCGAAATTTCAACAAACTGTGATCCACAAGTTACTGCACAAAATTAGTACCAATCTTATACGAACAACATTGAGTTCAAAGAGAGAGAGAGAGAGAGACTCACGGTGAAAGGCGACGGCGAGAGAAGCGTGTGTGAAGAGTTGAATCGCATGGAAGCTGGTGTGATATATGTAGAACGACGAAATGTGTTGACAAAATTACAAGATACGCCCTTCTACTTCACGTATATTTGTAGGAACCCCCAAACTTTTGCAACTTTTCTTCACATAAAAACTGAAATTTTGTAATAATAATATATTTCTGGAATATAACATAAACTACGTGATTGCACATTTTAAAATTTTAGAAAATAAAGCTTAAATCTGAATCTTAATAGCATCCATAATCAAGATTCTTGTTGACAACTTCCACAGTGAAATATATAAAAATAAATCTATAAAAATATATTGGGAGGTTCGTTACTTCAATTGTCATAATGAAAACTCATTTTATTTTTTTATTTCTAGCTCTTCCAGGGTGGTGTTCCATTGATTGGCTCGGACCCCCAGTAAGGATCAAGATAAAGACGAACTGAGGACCGATTTTTGGATTTAGCTCACCTGCAAAGTTAAAGTTGAAAGATATATATATATATATATATATATATATATATATATATATATATATATAAATTAATTAACCAATGGATTCTCTAAAAACAATTCTAATATATATATAACTTGGGATCATATTAGATCAGATTGTTTTCGAGATTTTTTACACTTGAAACTTCACAGTAAAACATTATGAATGTAACCTTCACAATGATTTTACTGTGAATGTTCAGATTTTTTTACCTTCACAATGTTTTGCTGTGAAATTTCAAGTGTAAAAATATGATCCCACGAATCTCATAACAACATGTTGGTCTCACATGATCCACCCCCTCTCTCTCTTTATATATATATATATATATATATATAGAGAGAGAGAGAGAGAGAGAGAGAGATATATATATATATATATATA